GCGCGCGCGGGGGTACCCATCTGCGATAGCCTTAGAGGGCGGAGCTTACACGAAATAGAACACGCTGTTCAGTTAGGTCACAATCGCCATCTTTCTTCTCTTCTCGTTCTCACTCTCGCGATATTTCAATAACATAACTATACTACAACCATGAAAATGATATTTTGGAATAAAAACTGCTAAATAAAAATGCTTTCAAAATAATCTATATTATTGGGGGGAAATTTCACATTTGAACAATGTTTATATTAATAAAAACATTTTTAAAGGAGAATGAAAAGTTTTCATAATAATAAGATTAAAGTTGTATATGCATTTAGTTATTTCACAATTAAATTGTCATTATTTATTTATCAATTATTTATCACTTATACTTATTTCATAATATTTTATTTGTTTATTTCACCATGAACGCTGATGTTTCATTCATTGACTGTATGTGTCAGTGGGACTTTACACTCTTTTCAAAGCAGACCGAGAATGTTTCAGAAACTGAACATTGGGAATCTCATATCAATCAGAAAGATGTAGTTTTGCTTAGAAAAATGACAGAAATGCAGTATATCTCTTCTTGCTCTTGTGAAAGCGGAGCCACGCTGATTGACGTCGCCCCTCCTCCATCAGCCGACGGCGTCAGCAGGAAGTGCTGCCTTTTCCCGTCTAAAGCTAGCTGGAACATGAGGACGAGAAGCTGTTTTAACCAGACCAGCTGGGCCATCTTATTAAGCGTTTGATGGTAAGGGAAAAAAAAGACGTGATTTAGTAGCTGAATGGGACAGAAATTAGTCTGAGCCGAGGACTTCTGTTGTCTTTTCCCTCCTCATCGCTTCTGCTAATGCTAACACTGTTAGCTTCGTGTCGTCACGAACAAAGTTGGGTTTGTTGTTGATATTCTGGGACTAATTTCCCGCATYGTTACAAGTTTTGGAGCACTGGTATTTGACAGGTGGATTATTCCTACGTCTTTTACAGCTTGTCACAGAACAAAGGCGACTCCTAGTCAGATACGACATTGTCAGCACAGAAATGCCTAGTAACTTTATTCATAACTTGTTAATTTTTCCACATTCACTGGCCGTTACTGCTGTTTCTGTAAGCATCGTTGGCTGCATTTGATATAAAATGGCACTCACACTGGCTGTTTAAATCAAAACCTTAMGAACAGAAAGTTTGTTTTATATCAGTTTTTCCTTTAAGGCCCCAAATACTGTATTTGCAGACTTAATAGAGACAAATCTATGTGCTTAAGARATTATCTAATGTATACACTTAATGTTGTTTTTATATATATATATACCAGTGAGTTTCACTTTGTTTTCATATGTATATTAATCTAAATAGGTATGATCAAACTTGTACAGATTATCAAAAGAGAATATTTTGTGTGAGAATATCTTTCCAGTCTTGTTCTCTGATCCCTTGTTCAGAATAARACGAGGACATGGACAGCTCCAGAGGAGGAGGACCGTGGGGGAAGCTGGTCAAAGTGGACTCCAGTGAAACTGTTCTGCTTTTCAATAAAGAATGCACAGTTGGCAGAAAAAAAGGTGATACAGTTTGTGTATTTTACCCAGAACACAACAATGTGGATATTTCATGTTTATTTAAAAAAAAAGTTTGAAAGTAGAAATGTGTCTGAACAAAAAAACCTTGTCAGTAGTGTAGACATTTCTGTCAGTGTCTGGAGCTTTTTACAACCTCCCCCTTAAAAACACAAAGCTTTCTTTAGTGTGCCAGCCCCTTGTGATGGGAACAAAAGCTGTCTATTGACAACATGTGTGTAGAATATTAAGTAGAGGGTTTTTTTTTTTCTATGGGTTTTGCTTAAGAAGAGATTCGGGCTATATATCCCCMTGTGTCTGCTTTGTTGTTGAGAACTGTCGGGAATCTACATTGCAAAGCCACTGGGCTTAATAGGCTAGCTTCTGTCTGGGCAATGAATTACTTAAAGAGTAACTTATAAATTTTTTAGCTGATAA